TTTTCTAACTGTTGAATAGAAACTGCTGTACTCGTTGGAACTTTTTGTATAACTCTAACTAATATAAAAATTTCAAAACTTAAAAAAAAGGCAATTTATAAAATAGGTATTATACCCATTTTATTAACAACTATATTAATAACATAAATCGCTAAATAAAGTACGTACCTCGCGCCTAACTTTCCATGTTGACAAAACTATTAGTTTTTAATAAGAATAAAATGGAAGCGAAACTATTTTATCATCGCTTCAAACAAAAAATGATTTATTTCGACGCAAGTTAGAAAACTCAACTTTGCGCTTCTGCTTTAGCTGCTGCGTTGCGTTAAAAGTCAAAATTTGTGTGTTACATTGTGGACTGGTTTATAAGGAGTATTGGAAAGGTATGTGTGATAAGATTTGAAGTCTTTTGTTTTTCTATTTTTGTCGTCGTAATTACTCACTTTGTCCTTATGTGCGACGGAGTCTCTCTCCCATCAGAAATCATATCATAACACCGAATTGCGCTCCATTACGTGGCAACTGTAGTAGACGTCGCAAAGCTCCTAACTTACCTTCCCTTGCCCGGTCCATCGTATTTCAGTGATGGCGATGATGTAAGCCTTTATTTTCCCTAGGACATCAACCAGCCGGGCAGAGGCACGTTCCCGATTAAGGGCTCGGATATTCCAGGTGCATACCCTCAAATCATAGTCCTTCTTACGTTTGCCGTGATCGTCATCAAAAGAAGGGGCTATCATCCGAGGCATGCGATTTTTTTCATTACTTTAGCTCGCTCCCAAACGGGAGTTCGGTCGCTGCCCAGAGGATTCATGGATATAAATATCCGGACGTAGTGAGCCGTAGGCACACGAATCACTTCTTGCCACTCCGAGGTGAATGGCAGTCAAAAGCTTTGCAGTACTGGCAAATTTACAGAACATAGTGGTCAAAGGCGGATATCTCAACTAAACTGTGATGTGTTTTTTAAATTCATAGCTCTACATACTTGTTTAGTAAACCAAATAGCCGGACAAGACGTTATTCAAAATAAAAAATGTATAGCCCAATTCTGTATCGGTGACAAGCACTTTTTTACTGACAAATTTAAACATTTTCATATATTTTTCCGTAATAAAAACTGTGACAAGAATTTGTCAGTGATAGAGAATAGAGCCGTTACTCTGTATTATTCCTCCGCAATTTTGTAAGATAAACTAACGATTTATAATCGTTGCTTTGCACCGATATATCTTCTCTTAAATGATATATACATTTACCTTTAAATCTGAGAGTATTCAACATTTTGAGTATGCAGACTTTTTATGCTGGTATATTCGTTTATGCTAAATATATTTTGTTTTATCCTTGTATGGGCCAAATTCCTATGAATTTTGTTTGCTGGGCTGGAGCTGCTTCGGCCGATGGAGTAAAAGGCGAAATGCTTATATTTTTCCCTTGTCCCTCCTACGCGTTTCGACACTCTCGTGTCATCTTCAGGGAGTCTGTTTTATTTAAACGATAAACAATAAACATGAAGAACGAAAACCATAATTAACAAAAACATAATAATAGTTGCGTACATACATACATATATACACAACAACCCTGCAAAAAATTGTGCGACAAATCTCTATAGAGAGTATTCCGAGATTACTCTCAATCGGGTACAATTGGGCATTAATTAGTCGCAACTAGTCTTATACGGGTACTAATGGAGGTCAATTAGTCTCGACTCATCCCTTATGGGTATAATTGGAGATCAATTAGTCCCCAACTCATCTCTAACGGGTACTATTAACGATTTAATGATATGTACGCACTTAGTCAATGAAATTTCATGTGCGGCGTTGGCACACAGAGAGAGTATTCGCCTAACAAAACTGAGCACCCCGGTTCGAATCTCAGCTGGCGCAAATTTTTATTTTTATTTTTTAAAAGTGACTAGTCGCTTTTTTACCCGTTCGGGTATAAAGGTGAACAATTAGTCTCTTCATAGGACATGCTCGAACAAAAGCGATCAGTTCATTCCATATAAAGAGATCGAAAGTGGTATTAGTCGCATGCTCCTTTGCGATTGGTCCCGGAGTCATCCCGGGTTAGTCCCATTTTTTGCAGGGAATAGTTAGATATGTACATGTATACTTAACACTAATTATAAACACACATAATATCACTTGAAACTCACATTAAATATTGACAAGAATTTTACATTAATTTGCACACATTGAAGGTGTTATAACATTTAGGAAGAATTATTGAAAAGTATTCTTATTTATATTTTAACTTTAGTACGGCTGCATATGTGTTCTTCGTGTTGTCGACGTCTTCCTTAAAGTTGATTGCGTTGTCCAATTGTTGTTGTATTCTGCTCTATGTTCATTGATTCTTATACCCAACGCTCTTTTTGTTGTGCCTACATAGCATTTATTGCAGCTTTCGTTATCATTTCCCTTGCACTTTATTTGGTACACTACATTGTGTTGTTGCTCCTTTTCAATCTTGTCTTTGGTTTTCGTAAACAATTTCCCTGCAAAAATCGCGACTACTCCATGCATGCGTGTAAAGAGTACTCCCTAAGGACCAAGGAGTACTCCAAAATTAACCACAATTCATATAAAAAATATGGTCCAATTAACATTGCGATGTCCTAGGGCAGGACCATATACTCCATCCCCGCATTACATCAGAGTAGCACAAAACTACTCCAACATAATAACAATGGCATTGTTGCTATATTTTTTCGTTTGTACACGCTTTTGTTCTTCACTTCTCAAATACTTTTTCGAAATTAATAAAAA